CCATATGATATTGGTGGCCTCCCAGGTGTGTATAACACAAATATGTGGTTTAGGGCTGGAAAAAATGGCCTTAGGGTGGTCAACATTGGTTTTCAAGTGAGAAAAATGGGCGACGGAGGGCGATGGAGGAATAAAATTGGTTGTCAGAATAATTGCTGGCCTCCCACCCTTCTACGACCTTCATAACAATGAAACAGAGGTCCCTGCCAAAAATGAACTCAAACTGATGCAAAATGGAGGTTCGGGGGCCGAAACGCGCAGCCCGAGGCCCTGAAAACTGACTGTTAGGCACCGAAAGTGGTGTTCGACCACGAAGTTGGTCTCTCGAGCCACAGTGTCCCTCAAAAGGGAGCAAATAAGTTGCATGCCAAAAACCGGAGCAAACGGAGGTGGTTAAGCAGTCCCGAACCGAGGCACATGGCCAACGGCTCCGAAAAATCGGAAACTGGACTCCAAACAGGCAAAATGGCCTACGACCGCGAAACGTAGCCTACGGCCACTGAGAGATGATCTACGAGACCTCTCCCTCCCCTCGGGAAGAGAAAATAGAGAAAATAGAGCCTGGTTCGCAAACCGAGGCAAAGCACGAAAGAGCCCGGAAGTCCGGAGGCAAGGCTCGCAGCCGAGACTCTGAAACCTCTGAACGAGCACGATATGCAACATCACCAAGCGCTCAATCGGTGACGTCTGAGTCTTAAGGTCGGTCAAAAATGGGGTGTCTACACATAGCATTTGCACCAATCACTAGTATATATGTATATATACATCGAGCCCCCAAATTACAAGTTATTCCGGTGTCCAGAAATGCCTAAATCCCAAACATTTGGTCACTTTGGACAGTTCACTTCGTTCCATGAATTAGCATAGGAAAAACATAGCCAACAAGTAATCCAATTTAACAAAATACACACACAATGACAAGTTTTCTCATAGAAAAAACATATGATGCAAATCAAATCACACCAAGGAAATGGAAATGGAAGAAAAAGGGTAGAATTCAGAATCAGTGATGAGATCAGTGAGTTGGGTGTATACCTTTTGATTCGATTTTACGGTTCTAGCAAGAAAACTAACACCACAACCACACGAGAGCTATGTCGTCCATCAAGAATTTGATTAATCTCCCTCTATTCAAAGCTCAATTTGCAGATTTGCCCTTCATCTCTTATTCTTATGTCCTTCATTCACACTGCAGTATGGTTTACCAACGTATATATTTTAGGGTTTATAAATTATGGATACATTAGCATTGATTTCGTTTTTTATTACAAAGATAAGTACATAAATTGGTGAAAAGTCCACTATTATCACATGTTATTTGATTTGATTTTTATTTGTTATTTGATTTTATTTTATTTTTAAATTTGGTTATAAAACAATATGAGTTTGAAAAATCATCGAAAAATCACTGGTAGCCGACTGACAATAATAGTTGACAATTCATGAAGATGAGTGAATATAAAGATGAATAGATAAGTTATATTAGCCTACAAAGAATTGACATTTGGATAGATAATTGAAACAGATAACAAGTGTATAAATAAGTAATATTTGAATAAGTAAGTAAATTTTAAACAAATAAATATCCTTTTAAAAATATTAATGTTCTTTTAATTCAAAAAGATTTACATTTAAACCTGTGGATCTAAAAGTTTAAAAAATGGGGCTCTCGTGTGCTTCTAATAATAAATTGTATATAATTTTTTTTAAAAAGCCATTTTTTAGGAAAATGCTATAAGTTTTAAATTTTTTACCAAATAAATGACTAAATGTCTCATATGGGTGTAGGTTCACAAAATTGCGAACTCCATACCTATGTAAAATATTTGATTATTTGTTTAGTAGAAAATTTAATACTCCTAACATTACCCCATTTTTTAAGCACTAATATAATAACAGGACTGATACAGGCCCCCTCAGTTTCTCACCCCCACCACCCCCACACACACGTGGGGGTTGGTGAGTGGGGGAGTAAAAAAAAAATAAATAAATAAAAATTATTTTTGACCAATGAAAAGAAGAGGGGGTCGTGGGGGTCACAGTCCCGAGGGGATCTCAGTCTTTTTTCATATAATAATATAACAACTGTTACATCAATTAACAAAAACAATTATAAGTAAATATTTGGTAACATTTATATCAATAATTTTTTATTTATTTTTATAGAATTTTTAATAATTATAAACAAAACTTGTTTTGTTTTGGTTTTAAAAAGTTATAAATAGTAATTTACTAAACACACAAAAAAGATAGTTTCACTTATTTATTTTAAATTTTTTTCTCTTTCTCCTATTTTTTTTTTTTCAACAACCAACTATTACTCATCTCTACAGGCTACATTATTAATAAACTTCACTGCCAATCATTTCCAGCCATTACCTCCTCCCACCAATAACACATTTGGCCACCAACTTTGGTTGAAAATCACCTTTAGGTGACAAATCGCCCATCATTTTTTTTCTATCGACAATCACTATTGCTTATTATTTTGGGCAAATTACATATACACCCCTCCAGGTTTGGCAAAATTACAGATACCCCCCTGAGGTTTGAAAAATTACGAATTCCCCCCTGAATGCTATATTTGCATAAGAAATTAGGGGGTAATTTGTTATGAAATATAAACCTCAGGGGGTAAATTGTTATGAAAATACAAACCTCAGGGGGCGGGATGTAATTTCCGAAACCTCAGGGGGGTATCTGTAATTTTACCAAACCTGGAGGGGTGTATATGTAATTTGCCCTATTATTTTTGTAGCCAACAACTACCTCCGGTTACCACCAACCACCTTCTATAGCCAACAATTATCTCTGGCTATCATTTTTAATTGTCAACAATCTCCTCCTGTAATCATCTATTTTCACTTGTTTTCAAAATATATTTTTAAAAAGCTTGTATACCAAATATATTTTTATTTTCATTTTTAATCAAAAATTAATATAAATATATTTAATATTTTTTATAAACTAAAAAAAATAAATTATAAATATTATCAAACAGCACCATACATTACTCAAATACAAATTTTCAATGGAGTCCATAATTTAAGCGTGTCCATTCAATTATAGAGTCATGTAATTATTTTAGAGGAATATATATATCTATAATTTAGACTCACAAACTTGAGAAATTATTGGTTGGTTTTGGAATATCATCACGTGGTGCCGTAATGGTGTTGTAATTGGTGGAGGGAGTGGAGCCTATGAATTTGTGTTGGGTGATTGGAGAACTTGGAAGAGGGTATGGTAAATTATGATTGGTGTGGGGTATGACAACATGACGTCTCAAGACCAACTAATAATTTTCCCACAAACTCACTTATAATGATATGACAAGAAAGTTAGACATTATATAATTGAGTATGTGATAAATTAAAAATTGACACTTATCACGTCATTTCATTATAGATCAAATTTAAAAACCTTTTTAAGAGTCTTAAACATTTTTTTATTACTTTATTCTAATTTTTTTTAATATATTCATTAATAAATAAATAGAGAGATAACATTTGATGTTTATAAAAAAGCTCACATTAGGCAATCTTTAGCTTTTCCTCAAAATTTTATTCAAATTTATAAATTTGAGTCACACAACAGTTATGAAAATTTTAGTTAAACATTTGAGTCTCTTTGATTTAAAGCAAAAATTTGAGTAAAATTTTATTTTCCATAAATTGACTCCATGAGTGAAGGATATTTTTTTTAAAAAAATTATTTAAATTTAAGTTTAATATAAATTTAAATAAATGAAAATGTTCCTTTTCCGCATAACAAAAAGTAAAATAAAAATTTGGCAAATTAAAAATATACCTTTTGTTTATTAAAAAAATAGATTATTCCATCACATTCGGGAAATTACATCCAACTCTTGAGATTTTTAATTATATAACAAATGACATTTTTTGTTAATCAACCTTTATTTTATTTATTTAAATTTTTTTTTTAACATGAAAAACTGATACTCTAAGGTGTCATCACAGCATCCATGGCCAGCTGCAAAACAATCATTTTTCACCCCTTCACGATTCGAACATGGGTCAAGCCTGTGGAGAGGGATGCCTTCGCCATTAGGGCACCACCCCAAATGGCTCGTTAGTCAACCTTTAACTAGCAGAATCTATGATATAAGCAACAATTTTTTTTTTTTTTAAATACTTATATTAACTTTTATGAAGTTAAAAATTTTATTTTATTTTATTTATCCTACTCTACCTATCATTATTCCTCATTTTTTTTAAATTAGTAACACTATTCTCTCCCACTCTCAATTAACAATACTACAATTATTGTCTATAAATATTTGATGTGCCGCCCGAAGAGAGTTGAAGACTATCATAATTTTCATTTTGCTACTAGAGGATCTTTGGGTAATGAAAAATGTTAAAGATTCACAATAATTTATCCACAATAATGTAGCAATAGAGTTAAGTTCAATATAGTTAAGTGTGTAACAAATTAAAAGTTTGCACTTATCATACCATATCATTGTGGCTTAAATTAAGGGATATTTTTTAGGGATCACAAATATTTTCTGTTGAGTAATTTTATTTTTTTATGTTAGCTAAGGTGAATTGAAGGACATTCTCAAAATGAGGCATTTATAATTTCCAGAATATAAGGGGAGATATATATTTTTGACAAATCTTTGGAGACATATTTGTAATTTATCGAAGGAAACTAAGCTCAGAAATCAAATTTTAGAACTTTTGAAATAATTTGATCATATTATTCTTACTTGTTCGTCTATATGTTATGGTCACATCACTTATTTATTCAAATATTACTTATTTGTGCACGTATTTGTTCACATGTTATCGTCATATTTATATTCAACTAATTTGCCTATTTATCCATCTAAGTTATTTATATGTCCAAATTACCACCACCAACTATTGTGGCCTCAATAACGTTACGGCGGCAGTCTGACGAGACGATCTAGCGGCAATAGGATACAAATGGAAAAAATATTTTCCAAAACAATAAGTTCTCACTAAATAATTTCATTATTATTATTATTATTTATTCAGCGGCCGAAATTTTGGTTTCAGGTAGAGACTAGAGAGACGGAAAACAAAAGCACAAGACTCTCTCACTACCTAACCGTTGAAGCCTCACCCACCCATTCTTTTGAGAGAAAGAAAGATTTTTAGAGAGAGAGAGAGAGAGAATGGCAACAGCTGCGTGCAGTTCGTCAACTCTTGTCCCGTCCCAGATTAGTGGGTTTGGTGGAGGTCTTAGGCAATCTCGTTCTCATCCCAATTCTCTCACCTTTACAAGGTACTATATTGGGCTTTTCACATTTGATGATATCTTGATGCTACTTTGGATTTTGATTCCTAGTTTTTATATATATATATATATACATATATATGTGTATTCATATGGATACTAGTCCTACGGAGTTTTGAAGATTGAATCACCATATTGATTATGTCTGGATTTTCAAAACCCAGTAGAGAAACCAAATGGGTTCTTTTGACCTTGCGTTGAATTGCTTGGACTATTCAGCTGATTAATTGCAGTATGTAATAGTATTAGGTAATAATCAATGATGGTACACTGCATTTTTGGGGATTGATGAATTATTATTAATCATTGAGCAAAATCCACTCTACCCCTTGTGGTTTCACCTTGGAACACTTTACCCCTACATAAATTGAACTAAAATAACTATTTTATTGGAACTGGCAAAAAGACTATAACTCTTTCATTACTATAACACTAACTCCCAGCCAAAAACAAGGTTTTATTAAGATCCAGCAATCCCACTGCATCATATGATATACAAATTTGATTTTGGGTTTGAATTTCAACCCAATGTAACAACCAGCCTGAATCATGGTTTTAAGATCCAGTAATCCCGCTACATCACATGATACGCATTTGATTTTGATTTGAAATTTCCATTTTAATATTGAAATTCAAACCCAAAGAAATTATGTGTATATGTGATTTGTATATATATATATATGCGTGTGTGTGGGTTGTGTATATGTATATTGTTTACTTCGAAATCCAAATTGGCTGAAGAGATTAGTTGAAAAAAGAAAAAAAAAAGATGAAGATGACGATGACTCAGGTGCAGCGATCTACACTTTGTTTTGTTTTGTTGATTTTTTTCCTAAAAAATAAAGAAGAAGAAGAAAATACTTCTTTGGTTTAGGCTCACCTCCATTTTGTTTGAACTTGCTTAGGTATGTTTCTATAATTAGTGATTTTGAGACAATTTTTGCAATGAATGTTGTAAATAATTGAAAGTTATTTGTGAAACCCGGGCAGTGCTAGAGGGGAGGTGGCGGCATGGTAGAGAGGTGCGGGATGGTAGCAAAGAGGTGGGAGAGGTGGCGGGGATGGTGGTGAAAGAGAGTGGATGAGTTAGGGTTAGGGTTTTCAAATGGGGTTCAAATGGGGAAGAAGAAAATGAAATGGAAAATTTGTCTTTTTACACTAAAATTTGACTTTTGACTGTTTGTTTTTCATGCCAACTCTTAAAATAGGCTCATGTGACATAATTTCTGTCAATTTGGACAAAATTAATAACCGTAGGAAGGTAAAGTACACGATGAGTCAAAATCACGTGAGGGCACTTTTGCATATATATTTAAATGTCAATAAAATGCCCTAAGGGTTCAAATGGGGAAGAAGAAAATGAAATGGAAAATTTGTCTTTTTACACTAAAATTTGACTTTTGACTGTTTGTTTTTCATGCCAACTCTTAAAATAGGCTCATGTGACATAATTTCTGTCAATTTGGACAAAATTAATAACCGTAGGAAGGTAAAGGACAAGATGAGTCAAAATCACGTGAGGGCACTTTTGCATATATATTTGAATGTCAATAAAATGCCCTAAGCCAAAGCCATAATTAGAATTTAACCCTTATCATTTTTACTTAGCAAAACCCAAAAAGTAGAATTGATGTACTGAATTTAGGAAATTTCAAGTGGAAAGCTTTGTGCTTGAAAGAGTCAAGTTCGTGGAGTGTGTCAACCTCTTACTCGTTTAACATGTTTGTTTCAAATTGATGAGTGGTATTTTTGAGTTTTGCCCATTAAATGTTTGTTAGTATACCATAGTAAACTGTACTTCAATGTAATAGCTGGTTGGGCCATGATTTTCTTCAAGATCTAGACAAACATTTCCACAGGGCTTGATCCCTGTAAAAGAGCTGCATAACCCAATACCATCATACTTATGTGCATTATTAACCACTCTAATTGAATTTTACTTCATCAACAAATTCTTAGGGCTCTTTAACCATTTTGTGTGTTTTTTAAACATATTTAAAAAATTAGGGGTATATTGAACTTACTTCCTACGTGAAAACGTAGTTGTTAAACATGTTTTCTTGAAAGCATGTGTAGTAACCATGTGTTTTAGGTTCCAATTTACATTCAAACTCTGGTGAAAACATGATTACTAACCACGTTTCTAATAAAAAAGTGTGGCCAGCAACCACACTTTCTCTGCACTTCGATTATTAGTAGACTTCTTCTCCAACTCTAATTTCAAAATGAGGAAATTTAGTAACCGTGCTTTCATGTAATTTGGGGCTTAATAGCAGGAAACTCCTATAGGGTCCTTGCTCCCAACTATAAACTCTTCTATAGGGTCCTCCTGCTCCCCCACCCCCCCGGCTTTGTGCAAATGGTTTGGGAATAAAGTGCGAAAAATCCCTAGTTTTTTAAATAAGGTTTTGAAATAACATAAAATGGTTAAAGAGCCAATTCTTAGTTGCGTGATGAAATAAACGGAGAAATTTTTTTAATATTGCTCCCCTGTATATATACCTTATATTTCCACTATTTTGGTGGTTGAAAGAGATGCAGAACAATATTTTTAAAATTTTCAACGAACATTTGCCCAACTTCAGTTGGTGTTCGATAGTTCCATTGTAATGAGTTCCTAAAACCCATAAAATTACACTTATTTATCAATGTAATCTCCACAATTCTCAGACAAATTTATTGACTTTTATGCTACCTCTTCAGTATAGTTAGTAGTAGTGCCTCTATCTGGGTGCAAATGGTACCAAAATTTGGCTTTACCCTTATTCCAATGTTTCCCATGATATATAATATAATCTTCAAACATATGTTGCACAATTTTTGGTGTCCATGCAATGGAAAGTCCATACTCGTTGTGACACAAATGTACTTGCTTCTGGTTGAAAACTCTTATTCTCCATGTAGTTTCTGCGTACACTCTCCACATAATTGATTGCTTCTTATTAACTTTTCTTCTTCGAGTTAACATATACTTTCATTCTCTTCCCAGAGGGCACTTGGATGCTTTTAAGAATCCCAACAGCTTTACTAAGTGGTATTATTTGAATGATATTCCATTTTTTATTTGCTTCTTATATTCCCCCCCTTTTTTTTATCCTTTGGAATGGGAGTGAGGGACAAGGTAGGGAGAGAGAATAGCAAGTTAAATGCTATGCGTTCGAATATTACTTTAAAGGAGGGTTCCTACCATAGGACTAGTTAACATTTCGAAACTAGTTGTTGCTTTCATTTGTTAAGGTCTTTCTTCTAAGAAGCACAAATACAAATATGAGACATAGATACAATACAACAGGATATGGACCGACACACTGACACCATGATTATCATAAAATCAAGACGCTACATGGTAGGGACGCCACCAATTTTTTTTTCTTTTTTTTTGATTTGTGTATATACGTAAAAAATTATAACACCTTCATTTTTTTTTGTTACAAATACTCTTATATTTTGTTGTATCAAAATAGTAAGATATTTTTTTTCACATTCTATATATTTAAAAAACATGTGAATAAAATCTCTTAATATCTATTTTTATTAGTAAAAAAAAAAGAAAAAAAAAAAGAAACTCTATTCACCAACAATTTCAAAGTTTTAAGCTTTATAGTTCTTACTTATAATTGAAAAATCTAGAGGTGGAGAGAGTAACAGGTATAAATAGCATTTTAATGTTTAGCTCTGTATCTAATCTCATATGCATTGATGGGTTTCTAATTCTTTCTACTAAAGGAGAAGAAATTTTTGTTACATCTCTCCAATTCTTTAAGCAGATGATTCCATCTAATCATTATGAACAATTAAATTCCTTGAATAAGTATTCTTATATGTAGGTTTTAGTTACTGCTCATGATTTGTGCCTGATCTTGCACTACATTACTTATATGTTTTGCTTTATTTTTTTTGTATGAATCCAGGGGAAAGAATCGAACTATAGTGAAGGCAAGCTCACGGGTGGATAAATTCTCAAAAAGCGGCATAATTGTTTCTCCATCTATTCTCTCTGCTAATTTTGCGAAGCTGGGAGAGCAGGTTTCTATTTTGTATATTTGATTTGTGCTGTTATATTATATGTGCTAACTCAAGGCTTAAGGCCAGGAGTGTGATCCGTATTTTTAACAAAACATGTTGATTATGTTGTATTCTACTGCATAAGCGTGCATGTGTGTTTTACTTTTTCTATTGGCATTTGGAATTTGTTAATCTCCTTGGCAACTTCAATGCCTAACGATGGTAATTCTACTTGTGATACCTTTCTCTCTGAATTTTCTTGTCATTTGATTTTGTTCAATCATGTTTTTGGGATCATTTTTTATTTTCTTTATTCATATTTCCTCAAGCATTAATAATTTGAGATGTAGGTTGATTCTCCATGGGTGCTAGAATTTGACTCTCATATATATATATATAGGTAAAAGCAGTGGAGCTGGCAGGTTGTGACTGGATTCATGTTGATGTAATGGATGGTCGTTTTGTTCCAAATATAACAATTGGACCTCTTGTGGTTGATGCATTGCGCCCCGTAACAGACCTTCCATTGGATGTACATTTGGTAATTCTTCAATTTTTATGTCCTAGGTAATTTGTTGTCAAGTCTTCTTTGATTGGGAATAACATTGCTAATGTGAAAAAATGCATTGCAGATGATTGTTGAACCCGACCAGAGAGTGCCTGATTTTGTGAAGGCAGGAGCAGACATAGTTAGCGTCCATTGTGAGCAACCTTCCACCATCCATTTGCATCGTACAGTTAATCAAGTAAGGTTTCTCTGAACTCGTGAATGCATATCCTGTTTTAGTATAGATTAATCTGATTAACATTCATCAGATTTAGGTTTAACTTAATGTAATCCTAAAAGTTAAAAAAAATATAAAAAAAACAGGAAAAAGAAGAAAAAAAAAATTGATGAGTTATGTGTACTTCGAACATCTAAGAGAGCCTCCTTTTATGTTTGTGTGTTGATATATTTGTTTTACTTTTAATCCTAATTGAAGTTTATTTTTTCTATTTCATTGCACTAGTTATCTCTTTTGACAACTCTATTTTTCTATAACTCAGATTAAAAGTTTGGGAGCCAAAGCTGGAGTTGTTCTAAATCCTGCTACACCACTAACTACAATAGAATATGTCCTTGATGGTAAGATCTGTTTCTTTAGGAAGGTAGTCCTTGTAGTGAAGTTTTTGAAGGACTACTCTCTGAGAAGGATTTTCTCTGCTGAGTATCCTTTTCACTTGATAGTTTTTTTCCTTTTTGGATACACATGACCAAAAACAAAATGAAAAGGTGATCATGGCCACTTCGGTCATCAAGACAAGAACTAAATTCTTACATAACTGAGAGACAACATATTATGATATTAGTAAATTAATTTAGCAAGATTATTTACCTTTTGTGCATACTAAATTTGATATTGGCCAAACTGCCATACATTTGCCTATTAAAAGCTCCATGGAGAAGATATTAATGTTAGAAAAGTCTTCATGTTATCATCTAGGTTAATATATGGTCACATGGAATGGAATTGTCGAAATGAGCTTCTTTGCTTGTTAACAGTGGTTGATCTGGTCTTGATTATGTCGGTGAACCCCGGATTTGGTGGGCAGAGCTTTATTGAGAGCCAAGTTAAGAAAATCTCAGATTTAAGAAGAATGTGTGCAGAGAAGGTATTGCATTCTCATTTCCGAGTGCAGTACTTTACCAGGAAAGGAAACAATGACATTTTTTTTTTGTTTTTGTTTTGCAGGGGGTGAACCCATGGATTGAAGTAGATGGTGGAGTTGGTCCCAAAAATGCATTCAAGGTCCGTCGTTCAAAATCATATTGTCCTTTTTCTAATGCGGAGATATGGCCCTAAGTAGTGTTATCTTTTTCCTAAGAATATCTGTGAGCAAGTTGAGCAAGTATTAACTTCTTGTCCACCTCAGTGCTGTTCTTGAATTCTTGATGCTCCAATAGTTTGTGGTAGCTTCTATTTCCACACGCCAAAAATGCTCAGTTGATGCACTTAGTGCATTTTTTAATCATGATTTTACCCCTTACTGAAATTACCCTTTTAGACAAAACCCTAAAATACAATTTCTTACTACACCACTGTTGGAAATTTGTGTTAATGTATATAATATGATAGTGGTGTTGGTGGAAGATAGTGGCATGTATAGAATATGATAGTGGTGTTGGTGGAAGATAGTGGCATGTATAGAATATGGTAGTGGTGTTGGTGGAAGATAGTGACATGTATATAATATGATAGTGGTAGATAGTGGTAATATATAATATGTAAGTGGCATATAATGGGTTATAATGATGTTTGTAATATCTCCTATATAAGGAGTGTCATTTGGTCTTGTAAGATAAGAAGTTTTTGAATATAACAGAAATATATTTATTCTTCCCCATATTTTCGGAGTTCTTCTTCCTCATATTTTCTAAGTTGGTATCAGAGCAACAAAAAACACAGCAGCCCTAAAACCATCATAGCCATGTCGGAAGTCACGTCCGAAACCACTTCAACCCCTGCCGCTGCCATTCCGGTGAAAACGTCCAACTCTCACTCTGTCCAAATCACCACCATCCGCCTAAATGGTGATAATTTTCTCCGCTAGTCACAATCTGTCCGGATGTATATCCGTGGGCAAGGAAAGATCGGTTACACCACTGGTGACAAGAAGGCTCCTGCTGTGAATGATCCGCTGTTCGACAATTGGGACGCTGAAAACTCCATGGTTATGACATGGTTGGTCAATTCCATGGAGGAGGATATAAGCTCTAATTACATGTGCTATACTACTGCACAAGAATTGTGGGATAATGTTAGTCAGATGTATTCTGACCTAGGAAATCAATCTCAAGTTTTCGAATTAACTTTGAAGTTGGGAGAGATTCGTCAAGGAGATGATTCCATCACCAAATATTTCAATTCGTTGAAAAGGTTGTGGCAGGATCTTGACATCTTCAACACATACGAATGGAAATCGGTTGACGACTGCAACCACCACAAGAAAACTGTGGAAGACAACCGTATTTACAAGTTTCTTGCCGGCCTCAACATTGAGTTCGATGAAGTGCGAGGAAGAATTATTGGCAGACCTCCTCTCCCATCCATTGGCGAAGTATTTGCCGAAGTCAGAAGGGAAGAGAGCCGAAGGAGCGTCATGCTTAAGAAAAAAGGTACTGGTGAATCAATTGAAATTTCGGCTTTAATTAGCGATGCTGCGGCCAACAAGGCTGCAAATTACCAGCGCAGGTTTGATGATAAGCCACGGGTCTGGTGTGATTTCAGAATCTTACGATTCACGATTCGATTCACGATTCGATTCGCAATTTTTGCAAAATCGATACGAATCTATTGGTGAATCTATTTTGGAATGAATCTCTAGTGAATTGCACGATTCACAATCGATTCACGATTCGATTCACTTTTTACGATTCATGCAACTTTTGAAATTATTGTGTCCGATATATTTTCGACTCTTTTTTTCTCCATCTTTTTAGTGAAAATGGCATAATACAACTTTTAATAGCGTTTAATACCAAAATAACCAACATATATACATGATTTATTGTTATTTTAGCGATCATGGAGTTTTCAATAAGATCCAATCAGATTCAATCAGACCCAACATATTTTTAACCTTTCTTCTCATTTTTTTTTTCCTTTTAAAAAATCATAATTTATCTTATAAAGATGTTTAAGATTAAAGTTACACTATAAATTATCTATTACTATTTTATTAAATTGAATATTACATGTGTGAGGTTAGTTATACTTTTTAAAATACTTTAGGCTTTAAAATAAAAGATTCTAAATAATTCCTTCTTATTATTTGCTCACTGTTACTTAGAAAAGTATATATGCTTATTGTCCAAATATCAACATTGTTGTTAATTATTGTTACTTTGGAAATTGATAATTTGTCTATTTGGTTACTGTCTTTATTAAGAATGGCTGATAAGAAATATCTAAAAAAGAAAAAAGGCACGGTGGTGATATTACATCTTTATTAAGAATGGTTGATAAGAAATATCTAAAAAAGGAAAAATGTAATATGGTGATCTTGCATAGGAACCTTTGTTAACTTCTTACCTATTAAACTGCGTGATTATTATTAAAAATAACATTTTCATTGATTTAAGTCTAAATATTTTATATTCATAAGATACATTTAACATCTAAATATGTAGATATATATTTTTAAGTAATTTAGAAAAAGTGACTGAATCTTTACGATTCACGATTCGATTCGATTCGCGATTCGGTACAAGGCCATTTCGATTTACGATACGAATCCCGATTTGACAACTATGGACAAAACCCTAAAATACAATTTCTTACTACACCACCAACCACCAGCACCGCCACCACCGTAAACCCCTCCCCCACGAAACCCCCCTAGTAGATCACTCTCTCGCACACACGATCTACTCTCTCTCTCACGCGCATGCGTGAGCGTGGAGAAGGGGGTGGGGTGGTCGTGGACAGTAGGGGAGAGGCTAGAGTAGTTGGGGGAAAGTGGGGCTAGGGTGGTCGTGGACAGTGGGAAGGAGGGGTTAGGGTTTTCGGGGAAAGGTGGTTGAGGGGGTGATAGTCGCAGGCAAGGGTGGGGGAGTGGTTAGGGTGGTCGGGGGACGAGGTCGGTGGTGGCAGTGCTGCCTGACCAGAGGTAGTTAAGGTTAGGGTTAGGATTTCTAAGATTGAAGATAATGGTATTTTTGAGATAAATATGTGTATTGAGCAAAAGCAAAATATTTGAATTTATAGTTGTAGGCACTGAGAAAAGACGTGTACTGAGACTTGAGAATTTAAACCACACTACAATAAAATAAATCTCGTCATGGCTTATTGGAATAGAACAAATAATCTTACGATAATGTGTAAAATTTTTTTTCCAAAATCTCTTTCATTATTTATCTGTACAAGTGACAAATTGATGATGTGATCTATATAGCCATTTTGAATACTTGTGATGTTGGCACTTTGGCAGGTGATTGAGGCTGGAGCCAATGCTTTGGTTGCTGGTTCTGCTGTCTTTGGAGCTAAAGATTATGCTGAAGGCATGGACTCACACAACTTCTATGATAAGTCCTACAAAAGATAAATTTAATTATTTATGACATAAATGTATTTTAACTTTTTTATGCGCTGTATGAATGTGGTACAGCTATAAAAGGAATAAAAAGCAGCAAAAGACCCGAAGCTGTTGCAGTATGAAATTTGAAGTCCAGAAGCTCTTGTTCAACTCAATCTTCAGTTCACTTGCCCTTCATTCTCATGTATGGTATTTCTCACTTTCTACAAATTACAGTATTTATTTATCTTTCCCTTCAGTGTGGTCAGCTCTTTGTGATTGAAACGGAAAATCATTGTCAAAATTTGAAGGCAATGCAAGAAAATGATGTGGAAAAATTTAATTAGAGTTTCTTTCTAAAAAAATAATAATAAAAGCAAAACCCTTAATATGAATGGATAGATTATACAGCATGGATTCCCTCCAATTGCTTCAAGAAAAATCAAATTATTAAGCACCTGTTTGGTAACATGTATATTTATAATTTATGTTTACAAAAAAAAAAAAAAAAACGAAAATTATTCTAAACAAAAACTCGTTTGTTGTCAATTTTTGTTTATGAAAACTTGAAAACAGTTTTCAAAATTTACTGCATTCTTGTAACCACAAAAAAGTTAGTTTCACTTGTTTAGAAGGAAAAAAAAAAAAAAACTATTCTCCTCCCACATTCTCCTGTCACCACCCACGCTGGTGTGATGTGGATTTAGGAAATGGTGTGTACTTATATGAATGATGATGTGTAAATAGAGAAACTCCTGAAAGTTGCTCAGTGATAAATCAGTGAAAGTAGAAAATTAGACTCGGTAGAAATGTTGTTTTACTTTTGTAGTTGATAATTTTCTGCAATCGACGAATTGAAGCACATTTGAGCTGCTTTTGCCTCTTTTTTTTTTTTTTTTTTTTTTTTTTTTTTCCCTCTTTTTTAATTTTTAATTTTTTTAAATATCTCAGCATGATTATCTTCGTATTCACAGATAAAGAGGTGCAACCAGACATAGCAGCAAGTTGTTGGCTTCCTGTTGTTGTCAGATACACGGTTTGTCTGCTGTCATAGATGAAATGAATAAGAAACATTGAATTCTGAGTGCTGTTGTGATGCTTGATTTATGTAACATAGCTTGTATAGGAATACAATGTTTCGACTTATCTTCACCGCTAAGCCCTGTAACAATATTATTATCCATCTGTGTCCAGTTTAATAAACGGAAAATTAGTCTAAGGTCTCTCTTTCATATTTAGTAATAGAAGAGATCCATAATTTTATTTTATAATGTCTAAGGTCCCTCAACTTCCACACCCATATATCACAGAGAAATTTGATACTCTTGAATCAAACCTCATTTTTTTTTTCTATCTCTCACTCTAAACTTCTCCCTCTCCAAATTCGAAACAATTTCCCTTCATTCCAATTCCAATACCAATTCACCAAGCTTTTACTCAAATTTGTACTTAATATTGAGGTTAGCCATTGGAGTACTCTATATCAAAAGAAGTTTTTACTAAAATTCTAAGTAAATGTGAACTAACCAATCAAGCTTTGATCAGAATTCTGCGCGGCCGCAGCTGAAGCCCCCTCCGAAGTCCGCTTACGCTTAGACTTGGGAGGAGGCTCGGCAAATTGATCGAAAGAGTCGTCGTGATCACTCCAATCGCTGGTCTCATCGGGGTTATTATCTCCGCCAGCGCCAGTCCTAACAGTCTGAGCCCTTGTTCTTTTCTGTTTTAAGCAAACACAAAAAAAAATAGAAGATTAGAAGTGTGTGATAGGTAGATATAGAAATCAATCAGAGGATGGTTGTAAGACATTTGAAACTAACAGAGGAACGAATTGATGGTTCTGAAGCTCTGGGTGTGTCCTCCATGACCTAGTATTGATAATATGCCCTCAATATCACAGAGAGAGACAGAGAGAGAACTAGTAGTATCTTCGTGATCAGAACATTTGCCCTAATTTGGGCTCAGAGGAGATTGAGAATCGAACCAGAAAAACTCCCGCCAAAGAAATCCACGGACCACGGCCTCTTTTGGCTAGCAGCAGCGAGTGCGTTTGGATTTGGAATGAGTTGACTCGACCAGATACGTGTACACTACACACCTTATCCTACCATCATCGCCTTCATCAAGGTGTGCTCACAGAATTTCTCTCCAGAGAAATTCTGAAATCCAGAGAAATTTGGTTAAAACACAGACAGAGAATCTAGAGAAAATTTCTCTGGAGAGAAATTCCGAAGTCCAGAGAAATTTAGTTAAAACACAGAAAATCTAAAATTTCTCTAGAGAGAAAAAAATTCCGAAAATTTTCTGGATTGAATTTTCTCTGGATCAATGTTGAGGGACCTTAGACATTGTAAAAATATTTAGTGTCCTTTATGTTATAAAATCTTAATATCAAGGATCTTAAAAAAAATTCCCGTCAATAAATCATTTTCCAGTGTGCATACTAAATTGCTCTTTTTATTTTACTTTGATGTTCTCCCCGTAAATAATCAACACTGTCATTGCTTATTGTTAAAACAATGGTATCGGATAACTTCCCTCGAGCCTCTTGTTGACATGTTAAAAATCAGCAGAGATGATATCCGACCCTTGTTTAGTGTTTATTATTATTATTATTATTATGATTTGGTATTATTTGGACTTTATTCTGTTCTTTATTTATTTGATAAGATTTGGTATTATTTGGACATGGTCATACATTTTTCACTTCCTCTCACTTTGATTTTGCTTCTCTAAACATTTCAGCGAGGTTTGGAAATTGACTATTTTAATTTGACTTGCAGAAAAGTAAAGAGTTATGTAATAACTTGTAGTGACTATTTAATTTTTAGGCTAAAAAAACCTGCCCCCAAACATCTAAAATGTCATATTTCCTACAGTTTTACTTATGAAAATAAGTGAATAGTTTAGATTAAAAACAAATCAAAATATTATGATTTAAATTAATAAAATTAAGAATTTCTTTTGTTACAAATGTCAAATCCTAGAGTTCTCTTTTTTTAATTTCTCCAATTAATTATTTTACATTCTTTGCTTCTTTTTGATTTTTAACTTTCGATAATCAAATCCCAAAGTAAAAATATTCTTAAAAAGTAGTAATGTTTTGTCATTGCTTGAATTAGCTCACTCATCATAAGAAGAAAACAGAGAGAGCATATTACTTGCTGCCATAAATAGGTAGAATAGAACAAGCATTATATTTCACAATCCAAAAATTAATTAATTCCAGTTCACACTCTTGTGAACTACTCAACCTGTTAAAACTTCATTTTTCATTTTTATTTTTTTCATTTAACATACCTTGAAATGCACAAGTTCCAACCCAGGTCTCCAAACATAATGGGAAAACAACCAAAACAAGCCAAAACTAAATATAAGCATCCATTACCATTATTCAAATCATAAGCTACATATTGGACTGTGCAAGAAAAGATATATTTCAAAAGATTATTTTATAATACATTATGATACAACAAAGTTCCCCAATTGCCTCACACAGCGGGTGCTCAGAAGCTGTCATGCCCTGTTGGTTGATAAATTTGTTCTTATTGATGATTGCCTTTCAAGGCATAGATCTCCACCATGATAATTTGCTTTGGAAACACTAGATGCTACAACAAAATACATATAAATTATAAATACAAGGGCAAAGGGTCTTAATCTCAACGGCCTTTTTTTTTTTTTTTTCCTCTCTCTTTCTGTACAACTATAGCTTACACGCAATTTACACGTCTTGTCTGCATACAGGGCATGAGCCATGTCGGATGAGCCACTTGTCCACACAACTCAAGTGGAATGTGTGCTGGCATCGGGGCAAGCTCCTTGCAATCTCCCCACCTTCAATATCCTGCCAAAAGGCAATAACACAAGATTGTTAATTTCAAAATTAAAATGATATACATTTAGTAAATCCATATATGACAGATAATAAACCAAATCAGTCGCAAGCAAATTAGGACCTGCAAACATATTGTGCAGCATATGCTTTGTGCTGCTGCCACTTCATCCAAGATAATATGGCATGGTAATTTTTTCAATGATTCTCCAGACAACCCCCTGCATGGGACTTCACCAGTGGCATCATATAACTCATCATAGCCTATGTCGGCAATACTCACCTACTCATCCCAAGGTATTTCAAAAGTTAGAACTCAAAATAAGCAGAATTGGATGAAATTTCATTAAAGGAAAAAGGGAAAATTAAAAAAGAAAAGAAAAGAAAAGAAGGAGAAAAGGAGAAGTTTATCGTCATACTTGTGAGGAACACAAAAGCAAGAAATAATGGCAACAACTCATCAACATATCTATCTAGTTGTAATCATAAAGGACATTGCTAAATGAAGGAGCTCAAAAAAAAAAAAAAATGAAGTGTGAGCAATATGTCAACAAATAACCTCACATAATGATGACACCACTGAAATGGTTGAGGAAAACTGAAATGAAATCATAAAGACAGGTAGAAGATAGCCGATCGTATTTAGCAATGATGAAAAGCCACTATTTTGTATAGATTCAATTAGATAAGTACAATACCTAAGACGTGACATAGTGCCAAATGAAAGAGAGTACAGGATTAAATAAAACGAGCAGCCCATTTGTACCCCCCAAAAAAAAAACAGCCTTCAAAAATTGACAACCAAAATTCTGTTCTAAAACAATCTGCCAATAAATCATTACTATCCACGTAATCCCATAGAATCCCATAGAGAGATTGAGAAGTCTCCTCAACATGGATTTATTACGCCAAACATCATCCCACAATCTCACCTTATCTAATACCCACATAATAAATGAAATATGCTTAGCAAACTCCTCAAACCCTTTTGAAATGCCTTTCTATGAGCTCAGCCCATAAATCTTACCAACCTCCTCTGTAGCTCAATTTCCCCAAACACACCATATTTAGAAGCCATCACCTTCCTCCAAAACTTCTCTTTCACAAGCATACCTCCAAAAGTCAAAGCTTTTCAACAAGTTCAAGCCCAAATCTCTCAAGTACAGAAGGCTACGAAATAGACATCTCAAAGAAGTTTAAAAATATATTTTGTGCAGCGAAGGAAGCCCACATACATGGAGTTGAAAAACTTGAGACATTCATACTAAAATTCTAGAACAGGATAAACATGAAGGGTGGAAATACAATTGGCTGAGTTGGGTTTCTTTTAGTCTTTAGAAGAGTTAGTTCACTGGCAATTTAAAATTAAGCACGCATGGAGAAAAAGACAAACCTGCCAATGGTAAGCTGTTAAAATTGCTGGTGGAAATTGTTCCTCTACGAATCTACCACGGAGAAGCTCCTCTATGAAATCTGCCTGGAAAGAGAACGTTGACAATTAGTCTATCACCTTTTATGAGAAAAGCAACTGAATCTTCCACAAAGATGTGACGTTAAGGTTGGAAAAAGCTATAGCTGCCAGAATACTTCCTACAAGGTACCAAGCAGAAAGAAATAACCACAGTAACAGTAAAGAATATAACTGAACCAAACTATTCTAACCATGGATGATGAACTCCGCATGCCTGAGCGTTCAGAACACCAGTAAGCACGCGACGCCTCCAAAACTTCTACAGAGAGAACAGCCCCAGCAATGGCACCTAGTCCAGCTCCCCGGAGGACACCACTATCAGAAGCCCTACCTGCTAAAGCACCAGTGATAGATCCTGTGAAAGCCCCAGCTACAAGTGAAGCACATAAGCATATTTCAGAAGAACAGAACACAATTACTTTACAATGATGAAAATCATATCCACCTGTAAAACAGTTAATTTTCTGAAAACTCCTGGTATCAACTATTTTTTGGTAAATGCAAAATTCCCTGCGGCTTAATAAATGACACCATATTTTGAAATCAATATTTCCTATCTAGCACAGACTTTTCCAAATGTGGTCAGCAACTTCGTCATTGATCTAGTGAACTTTTTGGCAAGTATCCATCAAGCATTAGATTAGTAACCACGGATATGCCAACACATTCAAAATAAGCACACTGAACTCAGAAGCATTATTTCTTAAGATGCACTGAAATTCATCATTTACCAATGGATTTGCTGGTATTAAGAAGGCAATAATGCTGAAAAAGCGTGAGGGAAGTACAAGCATATGGAATATCATGAAGTAGCTTTAGTGGGAATCGATACAGACCAAGGACAAAAAATAGACACAGAAGGACACCACACAAGTCAAATGACATTATAAGTCGTACATATGTAGGACACAAAAAAAAAAAGCACAAAAAAGCATAAATTTATGATTTTCACAGTCTATTTATTACATGACCCAAAAAAAAAAAAAAAAGTGGATTTCCTAATCCCATATTAACAATTGCATAATGAGAAAAATGCAGCTAATTACATAATTATACAATGTATACTGTTTTTGTTTTCTTGAAATAAGTGTACAATCTGTACTGCTATGAAGCACTTGTTATAATTTTCTTCTTCGCAGCTTTTGTTTCCTATATACAAAGTGTTCATTTGCTTGCATGGCATGCTCCATTTGCGAGCCATGCATATGATGCCAGATTTTCTTTTAATAAAAAGGCAAGACACACCAGGATGAGTTCATCCCTATATTTAAGAGGCTTGGGCACATGTTATATTAAAAGCGTAGCATCCTACGCAGTCCATGTGTTGGACACCATCCGAAAAATCTTGATCAAGTAGCTGAATTATAAATTTTATTTCTAAATTATGAACAAGTTAACGAGGTACCAGAACAGTTTTTTGAGCATGTTGAAGAAGTCCTAGTGTCTGACATAATAATCGAACATGGCTTGAGAGAATTTTAGAGTCTTTGAGAAGAAATATGCTGATTTGGAGGGTATTTGAGAGAAATTGGTTTATCTTGCCTCTTTTTGTGCTTCGGTGGCTCCCCTCCTTTAAAAGGATTCCGCTATTTCTTATTTCTACGGATTGGAGAGCTAATTGTATAAAGTTAAGGATATTTTATTAGTTTTTTCTTGTTTTCTCTTTCCGGTGGACTTCTTGTCCTCCCTCAGTTGTATTTCAGCACTTCACTTTTTAATAAAATTTTCTTGCTGCTAATCAAATAATTATAATAATCGAACATGGTCATGAACCCTCTCCAGAAGTATTCCTGCTACTTGGCAACATAAAGTAAAGCATTCAATGCCCCAATATGTGTGCTCTTAGCCAGCTGTTAATTTCACCTTATGGTGTTCAGTATACAAAGAACAAGGATGCAAATATGTCAGTCTTTTTAATGAGTATGTTGTGTAGGTCTACATAGTGATGTTTATCAAACACCCGGTGATGCCAAGATCAGAGAGACAGAACCTTAGATATCACAGAATGCAACGGCATCTTAATGTCCAAAATTGATAATATGACCTTCTGCAACATCTGTCTCTAACTCCACATCCACAGTTAATTTTCTAATTCATTTTTTCCTGATAGACTATTCTAGAGCAAGAAGGAAATCCCTTGATGCAAACCTTTATTGCCTACTGAATCCGCATTCATAAGCTATCTGATAGACATAGGAATCATTAAGTATTGACCACTTCCTAGCAGTAAAACTGTTTTATCCACTGCCAGTAACTGCATAAAGAAGCCTCTTTAGAGAAGGCAACAGAGATACTCCCCACAAAACTGTAATTGAAATTAAAACCTATACTTTTCAAGATAATGAACTGTTGATGATAGAAATAAAGCTTTTGCTTTTCAAGGTAAACATAGCAAATATATAAACCCGTTTTATACAATCACCAAATATGTGACCCAACTTCATGCTATAATGACTATCCAACGTACCACCTCCCAGTCGTGCAGATCTTTACAAAACAGCAAGACAACACATTTCCTATGTTATATGGACTTAGATATGGTTGTTGGGTGTGGATATGTGTATAATTGTCTGATTCAACTAATTTCCATGCCCAATAACAATTCGCTAAATTTTGTATTTCTTAAATTCATATTACAAATTAAAATAGAGCTTTTATGAATCTTAGGCATAGTTTCATAATAAACCATATTGCTTAAACATATTTGTTGGGTGCATGTCCAACTAAATATATTAGACCCATATCCCAACTCAGGTGTCAAGTGTCCAACATGGGTACTTTACAAATTTAAGTCTCATTTGACAACTTTCAGTTTTAGTCAAAAAATCAAAAAGATCTAATAGCTTGTGAACATCAATATTTCAAATTTTCAATCATGGTCACTCATTTAAAGTTTCTCAGAATTTTTGTTGTCGTCTGATGACAACTCAATTGAGCAAAAAGGAACTTGATGCGTCTTTGTGACATAGTGTTCACATTTTTACTTTTCTCAAGCTTGCAATTAACTCATCATCAAAACAAAAGGGCACTGAACTTTTAAGAATTGTCAACTATTCCACAAAGGCCCAAACAATGGAAACTGATTTCTTAATAAATCCCAAAATCTTCATTAATAGCACAAAAGTTGAGTTCCATAGTGCGAGCGGCTCCTAATAGTTACCTTCCAAATTCTTAAACTAAAAGGTCAGTACAGGACAAGTTTTATTCCATGTCAGAACGCCCAAAGTGAAACCCTAACTAAACCTCACACTATTAAATGGTTACAATTTACATAACTGACCAACCATGGAAACACACAGTGCAAGCTTATTTTAACCACACTAAATTATCCCAATACCCACTCATGCAATCAATTCACAAAACACAATACAACAAATCACATAAATGAATGATTTTAGACAAAAAAATTATAGAAACCCAGAACCCAGAATTGTTTCAAATTCAATCTAACAATTCAAACAACATAAATGGAACACAAAAATTACCGAGAGCGAAGATTCCGGTCAGAGCTCCAGAGAGTGCGCCGGCAATCAATTTGGGTATGTAATGATAAACTTTAATCTGTCTCCCTTCAAACCCTCCATCACTACCATCTTCCATTGCCACTAAATTCGACAAAACGCAAGGGCTCAAACCCGAAGCCCACAAAATGCAAAGGTCCACAGGGGTTGAGTACCGCTACATGAACACTGTAACAAAATCGAAACCCTAAATTTCAATTTGATCAAATTGTGAAGATATTTGAATTAATTGTGATCCTGTTGTTGAGGTTGGTGTAGCAGAGGGAAGAGGCTGATATGCCCTAGAGATTAGGGGGAGAAGAGCTAGATTTTGGGTGATTTGGATGAGAGAGAGAGAGAGAGAGAGAGAGAGAGAGAGGGTGTGGCATGAAAATGGAGAGAGAAAGAGAGCGGCAACGTACAAGTCATACAAGAAGGCGACGGCTTTGGAACGATGAGAGGAGGCCGAGGTTTCTTTCGTTTACGGTCTCAAACAAATTGTGTGTGATCAATCATTAATCTTTATTTTGGTGTCAATTTTTAATTTATTTTCTTTGTGATATCATCACTCATATTTTTTTTATATATATTTTTAATAAAAAGTTTATTAAATTTTTTTTATATATTTAATTTGGATTTTTGTATTAAAGTAATTATTTATAAAGTTGGGTTTTACTCATTTTGATATTTTAATGTAAGAGAAGTTCTATCACAACTTTTGTTTTTATAATTTAAATAATTTATTTTATAAAACTTTCAATATATATTATTTATAAAGAAAATAGTTCAATTCAATAATTGTAATATTTTTATTTTATTGTGTTTATTTCTAAAGAAAATGAATAGTCGATTTTAAATATATATTTGTTGTTCATTTTTTAGAGATTAATGTAATGAAGTATAAAATTTATATTTATTGGATTATGACGTGAGTATGAAAAAAACTTCATTCATCCTTATTGATATATACATTACGAAAAATGATATAAATATTTGTATATAGTACATTTGAGAACTATATAAAAATGATTTTTTTTTTCTTACATTTCGCTAATTTACAATTATTTTTTTATTTTTCATTTTATTTTTAATAATTATTTTCTTATTTTCCATTTGGGTTTTGTTTTTTATCTTTTATTTTTCTTTTTGTTAATAATATATAGGAGTGCAATTACACGAGAGCAATTATTGAGATATTTTTTGCACTATATTGAACTTTTTTTGTATAAAGTTTGGCCAAAATAGTCTCGTCATTTCTAGTTTAAATCCAAGGATGGTAGGTTTGTGTCAAAAAAAAATTAAATAATTGTATTTTTAAAAATAAATCATTTATTTTTGTATCAATTTAATTTTTTATATAAATTATATACACAAAAGATTTTCTAAAAAATGAAATGTTCAGATTATAAAAATGAGACTAGTGGTGCCCCATAGACCCAAACAACACCCTTTTTGACCGGAGAGAAACCCAACCAAAAGAAAAAAAGAAGGGTTTGTTTGAATTTATTTCTAACATTTTTAACATTTCTAATGACTTTTTACAATGATTGGAGTGAATTCTTTAAGAAAATGAGTTTGCCAAATGAGCTAACACTTTTTTAGCCAATAAAGTGAAGGGAGGAAGAACAAAACGAAACAAAAAAAAAAGGGCAAATTACATATACACCCCCGAGGTTTGGCTAAATTACAAATACCCCCCTGAGGTTTGAGAAATTACAAATTCCCCCCTGAATGCTATATTTGCATAAGAAATTAGGGGGTAATTTGTTATGAAATATAAACCTCAGGGGGTAAATTGTTATGAAAATACAAACCTCAGGGGGCGGGATGTAATTTCCGAAACCTCAGGGGGGTATCTGTAATTTAACCAAACCTCGAGGGGTGTATATGTAATTTGCCCAAAAAAAAAAGGTAAATTATACGAACCTTTGTTAAAGGTTTGAAAAAAATATAATTAACTTCAAACTTGTGACATAATTACACCAGCCTCCCTCTAAGTTTTAATCTACATATGACTTAAATTCTCATTTCTCAATAATTTGTGAGTCGTATAGATGAAAAAATGATATTATTTCTTTTCTACTTAAATGTAAAATTATTTCATTCTCTACTATTATTTACATTAATTTTAATCATTTTAACTTTTCTAAAAGAGAGGTCAGTGTAATTATGCCAAATTTATAATCCTAACTATATTTTTCTCAAACCTCAAAAAAGATTAGTATAATTTACCTAAAAAAATAATAATAAGAAGAAAGAAATAAAATGAAGATTTGATTGCCACAAACCTGAGGCTGCCAGTGTGTAATCAAAGAGGACTCAAACCATGAAGTCACATGACATGGTTTTCTTCTATGTTCTTTGGACCGGAATGTCTACAACTACAAGTTTATCGTATTGAAATTTGAATTTACATGCATATTTCTTGTACTTGCATGCATGAGTTGAAATCAAGTTGGTTGGAGGTTCTGTGTAGTGCAGTTTATTATGATCCCTCTCTTTTCTTTTCATTTTTTTTTTTAATAATTTTTTGAATTTGTAAAATATTGTGTTGTTCACTAATGAGCAAAATGACTTAAATAAGTTTCAAAAGTTAAGTATAGCAAAGTTGGGGAATATTTTTTTTTTTGTTTTTTGGAAAAGGATTATATTGCATTAATAAACAACATAGCAACTTACAATCTTAGGGGTACCTACACCATACCACACGAACATAGACTAACAACTAGATAGGAACAGAGCAACTCAAAATACAGAACAAACACTACAAGACTACCCAGCATCCACGGTTGATTTTGCTAGTACATGTGCCGGTTGCACCAAGCCGCGAAGAACCTTGCAAAGGCGAACTAAAAGAAACTGCTGTATTAACCAAAACAAGTCTTATACGACAATTATACTACTCCACCAATCACAATTCTGCTTTTTAATAGTTTGCAAAAGATGTAGACAATCCGCCTAAATTTCAATCCGACTAAGTCCATTTCAAATACGGATATAGATGATTATTTTTAGCTTGTAATAATCTGAACCAAACAAGGCCAATCTCCCACTCCATTTCTCAAAATTGTCCACAACATTTAGGATGCCAATTCCTAGTGCTTTAATAGTGGTTTGATCATTAGGCAAATGAGACTGCTGTCTGAGGTCCTCGCATAGGAAGACGCCCTATATTTTTGTTTATTTTAGTAATTTTTGCAAAAAGAAAAAGAAAAAGTTCTTAAAATTAAAATCCATAAAATTTTATCAAAGATTAACCTCATTTCAAAAAAGATTAGGTGATAGTTATAATATCAATTGAAAAGGATACCTTAAAAAACCTTAAGTATGTTGTATTTGGATGGTGGATTTGTGGAGGGTTTGTAGAAGGAAAAGAAAATGATTCTCTTTTTCTTCTCCACAAGCCCATGATCCAAGCACGCTTTTGCATCTCAATCGGAAGAAAAGGAGAAGTTATTACAGTCTAAAAATGGTTGATCAGTACCTAAACAATTGTGCTGCAATCCTTGTAGGAAGAAAGCATATTTCATTACCATTTCTAGGATATACATCCCAACAAAATATTTCAAGCATCATTTCATTTTATTTAAGAAAAATGTGTACCTGAAAATTCAGGGGATCATAAAAGAAAATTTTCAATTGATTATTTAATGATGAATTTGATAGAGATATAGAACCAACCAACTGGCATTGACTTTCAATTGTCACCAATACTCTTCCATACATCAGTACTCTGCTAGGCTTGACAGCCCAGGAGCATAACCATGATCTCTCATTGTTTTAATCAAGTATTCAAGAACCTCGTAAATTTCTGTTTTCATATGGTGCTCATCATCAGCAGTGACAAACTCATTAATTTCACCTCCAACTTCTATTGAACTGCAACCGGGAGCCCTACGTTGCATCATCATAGCTCTAACAATTATCTTCTCATCCCACATACCTTTGGCAGCATAGATATTAGACATAATGACATTGTCACCGATATGACTAGCCTCCAATTCAAGTAGTTGTGCACGAGCCTTTGCAGCCAAATCAATGTTGCCCCAAACACCACAAGCACCTAGCAAAGTCCGCCACACCACTGCATTTGGCTTGACAGGCATATCTAGAATAAACTCATAAGCTTCTTTTAATTGCCCAGCTCTGCATAAAAGATCTACCATACAACCAAAGTGAGAAAGCCTAGGTTTTAAACCATAATCCTCAATCATGCTTTGGAAATGCCTCTTCCCTTCTTCCACCATCCCTCCATGGCTGCAAGCCATTAGAACTCCAATGAAAGTAACATCGTTTGGGAGGATTAAACCATTCCCGGGATCACAATTCTTCTTTTTCCCACTTTTGTTTTCCTTTTTCATGGATGCAAAAAGTCTTAGTGCTTCCTCAGCTTCCCCCTGCAATGCATGCCCCACAATCATGGATGTCCAAGTTGTGACATCTTTTTTCCTCGCGCTATCAAACAACCTCCTAGCAATTTCAATGTCCCCGCATTTTGCATACATGTTTATGAGAGCATTGTTTAGGCTCAAGTCAATGTCGAGTTCTCTTTTTCTACAAACGTAAGAGTGAATCCATTCTCCCATATCCAAAGCTCCAACATCGACACAAGCAGAGAGAGCAACAGTCAACGTAACTCGATCAGGCTCTACATTAACCATCTGCATTTTCCTAAACAGTTGAAGAGCTTTGTTGGGTTTCTGGTTATCAACATACCCAGAAATCAAAGCAGTCCAACAGACAACATTTTTAATGGGTATTTCATCAAACACGTGGTGTGCATTGCCAATATCTCCCACACCAGAATACAAGTCAATGAGTGAGGTTTGGAGATGAATGATGGGTTCAAAGCCAAGGTTTATGACAAGGGCATGGATTTGTTTCCCTTCAATGAGTAAGGACTTTTGGGTGCATGCTTTAATGACAAACAATAGAGAGAAGCTATCAATTGACGAAGTGTTTTTTCTCAATAAGTCTCTAAAGAGTAACAGAGCCTTGGTGGTTGAATTGGAGTTTAGATACTTTCTAAGGACTTGGTTGGGTCTTGGTGGTTTGGAGAGAGTATGGTAGTGGATTTTGGGGGTTTCAATAATTGCAACTGGCTTAGCCAACTTTCTTTGGACTAAATGGAAGTTTTTCAAGAATGATAATCTCATCACCTTGTCACAATGCAGAGAACCTGGTTTGTCATTTCAAAATAACAATTTTCTTGTTGAATGCAATTTCAGTTTCTCAGAGGTTGTAATGGCTCAAAACACATGCATATATCACAGGCCTTATAAGTTATAACCTAATCCAAAATATAATTCAAAATATTATATTTATTGCGGATGTGACTCATATCTTACCAATTTTAAATTTATACCATATTAGGGATGATCATGGGTCGGGTTTGTAATAATCTGTCCCGTATCATATATTAAGGGTGGCGAGATGGGAATTGGTCAATTTTGTAAGTTAAAGAATGAAAATATTA